GTATTGAAAGTTTTTTTCTGGTTTCTTTTGTCATTTATTTCCAGTTTCATTGCACTATGGTCAGATAATGTGCATGGGATAATTTCTGTTTTCTTGCATATACTTAAGCATGACCTATGGAACAGTATGTGGTCTCTTTTAGAAAATGACCCATGTGCAGCTGAGAAAAATATGTATTCAGCTGTGTTTGGGTGGAACACTCTGTATATGTCGACCAAGTTCATTGGTTTCAAACTCTGGTTCAGTTCTGTTATTTCTTTGCTAAGTTTCTGTCTGGTTGACCTATCTTTTGGAGATAAGGGTGTGTTAAGTTCTCCTGTTAAAGTTGTTTTATTGGATATTAGATTTCATGTCCATTAAGATTTGCTTTATATGTTTGCCTGCTCCCGTGTTTGGTGTATACATATTGATGAGTGTTACCTCTTCCTCTTGAATTTTTCCCTAACCAGTATATAGTGATCTTCTTTATTTCACTTGATCATTGTTGGTTTGAAGTTGAGACTGTCTGAGAATAAGATTTCTACCCCTGCTTTTTTCTGAGGTGCTGGTACATATGGTATTGTGTTCCATCCTTTAACTTTCAACCTATGAATGTCTTTATGAGATGAATGTGTTTCTTGTATACAGCATATTGTTGGATATTTTCCTGATCCACTGTGCCAGTCTATTTTTTTAATTGGTGAATTGAGTCCATTTACATTGATGGTTAGAATTGAGATGTATTGCCTTATGATTGCCATGTTATATACCTGTTATTGTTTACTCCTTTTTCTCCTGTGTTTAATTGCTTACCCTCTTTAGTTGGTTGTTCAGATCTCACTAGTGGATTTCTGATCATTTTGGTCCCTCTCTAGAATATCTTTCAGTAGCCTGTGTAATGTTCACTTTGTCATCACAAAATTCTTTAGCTGTTCTTTGTCATGGAAGTATTTCACTTCTCCATCAAACTTGAAAGAGAGTTTTGCAGGGTATTGTAGTCTGGGCTGGAATTTGTTTTCATAGAGGACCTGAAGTAATCTGCTCCATGCTCTTCTTGCCTGCATGGTTTGTGAAGAGAAGTCGGCC